CAGTGTGAATCTGGCCTTCACATCTTGGATATGAGGGGTGACAACCAGCTCTGTATCTCATGAAATATTCATAACCGATAAAAAAATGAAATTAAAATCTAAAAACTTAATTAATTAATTTTTAAAAAGAAATAAAAGAACAACTCTTAGTTTTAAAGAAAGCCACGTTAAATCCCAGAGGGTATAAGAAATAGTTTTGACAAGGAAATGACACAAGAAAATATGGGTAGAGTGTACCTGAAAACCAAAAAGATGTGAAATTCACCGAGAGCATGTTGTGTTTCTTAGTTTACCTACTTGTCATTCTTAGAAGGGGTGAATCAAAGCACCCCAGCTCTGGACTCAGGCTCTGTTCTAGATGAGAGCAGGTAAACAGTCCAGCAGGGAAGCTTGTCCATAGCCCACAAATAGTAGCTCAAGACTTAACCTCTAACCAAACTCTTTGGACCTTAAACTTTATCATGGATCTTCCAAGTGAAGGAAAGAAGCTCCAGAGCACATTTGGGGGATCAGAATGTGAATGCAAATGCGCCTCCGAAGGAGGAAAACCACCATGGAGAAGAAACTTCCTATGGAGAGAAAACTGCTGAAAAAGAAATCCCAGGCCCCCGGATTGGATCATCGCTGGCTGGGGGGGCAGAAGAGGAGAGGGGTGTAAAGCCTCCTGGTATCGCTCAATTCTTTTTACACACACTCCACCCACAGAGTACTATGCTTGATTTTTGCAGGGCTTAGAAATCCACTAACCCAAACCAGTGGGGACATCATAAGAAAGTTCCCAGGGTTAACCCAGCCAGGGAGGTGGGGAGTGTCGCTAATACAAGTAAATTCTTGAGCACTTCAGAATATATTTCATTCCTATTCCATTCCCCCATCCCCATTGAAAAGAAGCACGAGCACGCCGCTCTGTTTCCCATATTGCCCAGCCAGCAGCATTTCCCAGTCATTTTCGTAATGAGGCTGCTGAGCACGAACCTTTTGTGTATGTCTGAAACAGAGCAAATTCTTTACTCTTTTCTTTCTGATAGGTTTAAAAAGTGAGAAGATACAACAAAATGATAGATGGCTGTCATTTTGATGTTACCCACCTTAGATAAAATACAGTGCAATGTATTTTACATACTTTGGCGTGTGGCCTGTGTAGATACATATGTATATGTCTGTATACATATGTATATGTACACAGTCATTATTATGTCTAGATTTTGCCACATAACGTTTTGGAATTAGCTTTCTATGGAAGTTCTTTTGTAACGTCTGTATCTTTCTTCTTGCAGTCTTTTCTTATTTTCTTTATGTGGCTGCCCTATTCTTCATTCTCTTTTAATGGCTGTTGTCTTCTAGACTAATTTCCTGTAGCGTTTAATGCTTTGACATATGTCAGGTTTTATTCTGTAAGAGATTTCTTTCTTTTATAAGATCGTGTGTTGTTTTATCTTGGTTTGGGTTTTGTTTTGTTTTGTTAATGCCTGCAGCATTTTACTCTTCGTTTTCTTCCTTCACTCTAGTTATTTTCTTTCTTCAGAATTCTCCTCATGTATTAAATAACTTACATATTCCTTCCCCCTTCCCTGACACCATTTTCTTTCTGTTTTCCCCAATTACAGTGGTTTGAATGGGAAAAGATGGTCTATTTTTACTCCCCTCTGATCTTGTTTCATCCTGTTTTCTCTTGAAATTCTCTCCTTTCCTTATTCTTCACTCTTTCCTACATTTTCTCAGTCTCCTATTTTCACTTTCTTATCGATTATCTCTTGACTATGAAAATACAAACACAGTAGCTCCCAAATAGATCACTTACTTAGAGATGTATCTCTTTTTCAGAGTCATAAGTAATTTTTGTCAGCCACATCCCTTCCCAGCTGCCAGTATATTCTGGCTTCCTGCCCCTTCTTGATACTCCTGGTAGGGTTGGAACAAGACAGAGGAAACCTGTTCCTCTCCTGGTGCACGGAAAGTAATCATCCCAAACCAGTGGGGTATGCCCAAGACCACCCTGTGAGCCACCCACATGGAAGGAAAGGACCCAGGCAGGCTCAATTGGTTTTCTTGACAGAGTTCATTGTCACGGCAACCAGGGCTGCCTCCTGAACTGCTGAGGCAGTCTCCATTTCTACTTAGAGCGTGAGCCCTGGTAACACAGAGCTGGCCTGATCACAAATGCCTGCACTCCCAGACTCGGACGTGGGAGTCCCACCCACCGTGGGAGTACCATGTACCCTGGGGACATGCAGGGACCCTCCCAGGCTGGGGTGGCAGGGAAAGAGCAAAGATAGACTGTTCCACTGTGCGCGGCTCCCCTGTGGGTTCCAGGACCTTTCCTCCTTTTTCTTTGGGGTCTTGCTTTGTTCTTCTGTATCTCTTCTTTTCACGGCTGGAGGTGCCCAGCCTCCTCTCTCCTCCTCTTCTCTTTTCTTTTTTCTCCTCTTCTCTGTGGCAGGTGCCTCAGGACAAAAACCACAGTCTGTGCAGAGCAGCCTGTGCCTCTCCTGAGGAACCCCCATAACGTGTTTGGTCTCTTCCGTCACTGCTCTGAAGACAAATCTCTTTGCATACTTTGCATACTTTACTAACAGAGAATGCTGACTACTGATACGATATTTTTCTGGTGTGAAAGTGGGTGTCTTTAATTAATTTTAATGACGGATTCTCAAAGGTACATCAGCAAAACAGTCTGGTGAAAATGGGGAGGATGCGTGTGATCTATGTGATCTGCCAGGTAAAGTATTCCGCGACGCTCTCAAACTTTCCTACTGTATGATAATGTTTCTGGGAATGTCCCATGACCAAGCATGAAGTACACCTGCCAACCACATGCAAAAAAGCCCTTAGAGTTGGGGGGAGGGGACAGTGAGTTAATAATGTAGGAATCTAAGCCTTCTTTTTTCCTGTGGGCATAATGGATACTAAATTTTAGAAGCTGAAATATTTGTAAGCCCTGGATGCTGAGTTTAAATTCTCTTGAAGTTGTGGACAAAGCTACCAAAAACAACAACAAAATCAGATTTTGTGGGAAGGGATTGTGCCAGCTCGTTTTGAGATTATCAGCTCATGAGCTGAGTTTCCTCTTTGTAGATATAAGCTTCTTTTCTTCATAAATGTGAATGAACGTGATCAGATTCTCTACGCTCATAATAATATCTCACAATAATGTTAGCCAAGATAAAATCCAGACATTATATGACTATAAAGGTCGATGTCTGTCATTCACAAGAATAGCACTTTTCCGTTTTTCTGAACCTTAATGTATATAGATAGCTAAATATCATAATCACATCAAGTCATTATAAAACCAAATTGGAATACAATTGCTGGAAAATTCTTGGGGACATTTACTCTTATTCAGAATAGGCTTTTCGGAAACAGCAGAATCTGATAGTTTATTTTTCCTGTTGTTTATGTTAGCCACTTTAGGCTGCTTTTCATTTAAATATATGAAAAATGCCCACTCAGGTGGTCTGAGTACAGGCCAAAGTCATCTTCCCTCCAAATGATTTCATTGTGAGTCAAACACCAATTTGGAGTTGACTGTAATGGTCAGGATGATTTCTTTCACTAAACACTGTTCCTCTGTCTTTCCTTTTTCTTTCACGGGTTTTAGCTGAGAACTGGATAGTTGCAAACACGGAGCTGATCGACAAGACCAAGTTCACCATCACAGGTCTGCCGACGGATGCAAAGATCTTCGTGCGAGTGAAGGCTGTGAATAAGGCGGGTGCCAGCGAGCCCAAGTACTACTCTCAGCCCATCCTCGTGAAGGAGATCATAGGTAGGTGGTAGGCTTTCAAGATGTGGTCTCCAGGTTACTCTGTTTGCTTTTATTTTTTAAAACCCCTTTCTTTCTCAAACCCTCCTATTGTTGTCACTCATTAGATATTTTATTCACGTCTCCTGGGAGTTAGAAATGAACAAAACTGCTCTTTTTGGGCAGTGTGGGACGTCAGTTTTTGGTTTAGAACTTGGTACTCTGAAAACCGGTTAGTGAACCTCACTAGATTCCATGAGCCAACTCTGGCTGAGCTGCCGATTGACACTGGAGAGAGTGTTGACACAGCAGTACATACGATCTCTGCAGCAGCAGTGTTACCCAAATGGGTCTGCAAGGTCAAACCATTTTTATATAATATGAGCACATTGTTTGTCTTTGTAATGTTTTGACATCCGCACTGATGGTGTAAAATGAAGGTGAGTAAAACTGCTGGTGCCGTAGTGTGAATCAAGTCAGTGCCACCGAACCATGCTGCCTGTCCTCTCTTCCTCACCAACATGCATTCACAGTTAATTGGCAGACATTTTCTGGAAACTGAATGGAATGGGCCTGTCACTTCAAGTAAAACAATTTACAATGTCTGTTGTCAACTTGTCAATGAAAAACTTCGAGCTTTCAAGAAAAAATTCAAATTTTGGAAAACTTGTATTCACCACCATGGACTTGATAGCTTTCCACCCCTTAGAAATGTTTCTGATGAGGGCCGGCCCGGTGGCGCACTGGAGAGTGTGCCGCTTGGGAGTGCGGCGGCGCTCCCGCCGAGGGTTCGGATCCCATTGCCAGTCCCTGGTACGGGCACGACACCGAGGGTTGTGATCCCGTTACCGGTCAGTACAAAAAGGAAAAAAAAAATGTTTCTGATGAAATAGGTGGTGATATTAACCAATGTAATTTTTTGATATTGTGTAAAGGAATGTGTCAGCATTTGGGAGATCTGTAAAATCCCGTGGTGCAATGTTTTCCAAATGACCAAGACATGTTAAAAAAATCATGTATGGCTAAAAAGGTACATTCAAAATGCAAGTGGACAATAGATTTTAATCAGAGTATGAAAAAGGTCACTGTAATTGTTTCAGATTCTGCATTGCAGCTAACCTTTAAGGAACTATAACTCATCATGGTCTTTTTAAAAAAATTTTTATTGAATCATAATTGATTTTACAAATTTTGGGGGTTCAACATTGAAATATCTTGATCAAATCAATATTACTAGCATATGTATTGTTACAATCAAACTTATTCTCTATGTCCCTTGACCAATCCCTCCTCATCCCCTTTGGCCTCCCCCTTCCTGCTTCTAATCACCCTAGATTTCTTCTCTCCCTCTGAAAGAATAATGGTTACTCTGTTGATTTGCTGCCCAAATGATCTGCCCAATGCTGAGAGGCGTGATCAGGTCCCCCAATACTATCATAGAGCAAATGCTCCTTCCATCACTCTGAAATGGGCTCTGTGGAGAGAGACATCCTCCTCCTTTCTTTATGTCTGCTGGTGACTCTCCTTGTGTCAACTCACTCCAGTGGCTGGCGGACCATCTCCGTGGTGGTTGTGGCATCTAGCCACCTTTGTGGCAGCCATGGTTATCGTGGTGGCTGAGGTGGGCCACACACATGGAGGAGACATTTTTGGCCAGCTCCGTGGTGCTGGCAGTGTGCCTGGTTGTGGAGAGTGTCCAATCCCCGGTTCCATTCCCCAGTCCCCAAGTGGGTCCCGCAGCACTGGCACAGTGAGCCTGGTTGTGGGAGAGGGTCCGGTCTCCTTCTCCATGCCCTGGATAACTCATCATGTTTTAGTGTAGAATCAATGAGGAATATATGCAATTGTCTGAAAAGCTTATTAAAATATTCCTCCTATCTATGTGAAGCCAGATGTTCTTCATGTACTTTAATCAATACAACTTATTACAATAGATTGAAGGCAGAAACAAATATGAGAATCCCACTGTCCTATTAAGTCAGACATTAAAGTGATTTGCCAAAATATAAATTAATGCAACTCATCTCACTCAATTTTTCATTAATATAAAATATGGTTATTTTTCATTAAAATGTTATTTATATTATTTTTAAATGAATAAGCAAATATTATTTAAATTACTCAGTTTTAATTTCTAATATGGTAATAGATACAGCTTATATAAACAAAATCTTCCATGGGTTCGTGGTAATTTTAAAGATTGTAATGGAGTACTAAGACTAAACAATTTAAGAACCACAATTCCGGGGGAAAGAACACTGGACTGAGAGCCTGGATATCTGGGTTATAAATCATGTTTTGCCACAGGCTCATGGTGTGACCTCCTGAAACCTTTCAGGAGTGAGTTAGGGAATGGACGGACAGGTGGGTGGCTGGATAGATGGATGGATACATGGGTGGATGAAAGAAAGCATGAAGTGTGTACATTTTCTTAACAGATTCAGGACACACTGCATAGCTTTAATCCTGTTTCTATCATTTATTAGCTATGTGACCTTGAACAAGAGATTTGATCTTTCTAAGCCTTAATTTCTCTGTCTGCAAAATGGGGGTAATAATAATATTTACAACATGTAGTGAGAAATTGAATAAAGAGGTTTGAATAAATTGGATAAATTGATTAAAGAGGTTGTGAGAGTTGAATAAATTAACCCATGTTATTTGTTTAACAGAATGCTTGCCACATAATAAGCCCTCAGTATATGTTAGCTTTTATTATTATTATGGTTTAATTTGCAAGGAGTCCTTGCTGGGTCTCCAGTTCCTCATATGTAAAATTAGGGAGTTAGAAAGTCTCCATTTTCCCTTCAACCCTAACATTCAGACATTATTGTCATTTTCATCATCATCATGATTATCCCCAAAAGACTGTTGAGCACTTACTCTTTTCAGCCATTATACTAAATGCTTTACGTGAATAACCTTGCAGTTCTGTGAATAATCTTCACAATTCTGTGAATTAGAATTAGATATGCTGTTATCACCTTCATTTTGCAGAAAGGGAGACTGAGACCAGATATACTATGTATCTGATCTAGGACTCAAAGCCAGATCACTCTGACTCCAATGCCTGGCTTCTAACCAGAGCACTGGAGCCTGACTCCAGGTTCTAATCGTGACTGCATCACGTAGGGCAAGTCACTTAACCTCCTATACTTTAGTTTCCTCACCATAAAGTAAAAACAGTACCTACCTCGTAAGGTAGCTTTGAGGTTTCAATTATTCATGTACAACTTTTAGCCCAGTGTCATGTACTAAGCACTCAAGTAATGAGTCTCAAGAAATGAGACCTGCTACATGCCTGTGAGCCTGTGCGCCTTTGACTCCCTGCTCCTGACAGTTTGCAGAAACATGTTCTAGTGTCCGCATGGTGTTTAATTAATGAATATTAATACATAGTGGGCTAGGGGTGACAGTTATGTCCTTCAGCATAGTCACACAAGGAGAAGTGACCATCAAACTCCAACAGAATTACATAAAAAGCACGTGCTAGGTGCTAAAACTTTTTTTTTTCCTGGTGAGAAAGCGTGGACAGTACAGCTACTGTGGTGCCTGTAGATATTTTATGCAATGTTCAATGGAGAATATACTCGCTGTTAGAAACTGAAAAATACGTATAAAATGCTAAGAGAAAATGTGTTTTTCTATGAAGTTGCTTTTGCCTTATAGTTGCAATAAAGTCAAGGAGGTCAAGGATAAACTTTGCTGATTCAAACTGTGGAAGTACCTCTCCTTGAAGAAAACATTTTGAGCCAAAATTAGCATATATAATCTGTTCGTGGCACTTGTAAAATTTTATCACAGAGAAGTGACCATGGGGTATGCCGGTGAGCATCATGTCCTTATGCTTACGTAAGGCTATTTCCAGGATACTATACTGATTGCAAAATCATGCTATCTTACTTCACTCAGAGCCTCCGAAGATTCGCATCCCGAGACACCTGAAGCAAACCTATATCCGCAGAGTTGGAGAAGCTGTCAATCTGGTCATACCTTTCCAGGTAATCTTTCAGAAGCCACTCATTGTCTCTTTCCAGGGCTGAGGAGTTTAAGAAGTAGAGGGAGGTGCTCTAGCATTTAAGTTCCTCTTGATTCAGAATTTCCTCAGAGAGAGAGTAGATAAATAGTGGAAGAGATTCGAGGGATCCTTAAACAATCTTCTGCTACAGAAGTAGGGAAATCTATAAAACTGTCATCCATTTTCCTTCTGCATAAGACAAATGAAGGCTAGGCTTGCCTGAAACTCAGGGACTATGGTGGGTCAAGGAAGAAACATCAAGGTGGTACCAAATGAAGAAATGCTGGAAGATTCTTTCTGGTCCTATGTATCTGTCAAACTGATCATTTAAGTGAAACTCTCAGTGTAACATTCAAGAAAACAGTATACACTTAGTTTCCACCATGACCCCAAACCAAACAAAATTTGACTGAAAGGGATAACTGAAATTTGAAAGTTTGATGACACTTACTGAAATATGTGAATGTTATTAGATCATTGCTGCAGCAAAGAATCTGCTCTCAGTGTAACATTCAAGAAAACAGTATACACTTAGTTTCCACCATGACCCCAAACCAAACGAAATTTGACTGAAAGGGATAACTGAAATTTGAAAGTTTGATGATACTTACTGAAATATGTGAATGTTATTAGATCATTGCTGCAGCAAAGAATCTGCTCTTCACAAGATTAACCAGGCTTTGCTTACAATAATTGGTTTTGGTCTTTCTCTCTCTCTCTCTCTCTCTCCCTTTCACACACACACACACACACACACACACACACACACCCTGCCCCTCCCCAAGCCCCCCAGCTCCCTACTCATGTGTCCTTTTATGCCTCTAGACAGTGATATTCAATAGAACTCTCTGTGATGATAGAAATGTTCTATACATGCACTGTCCAACATGGTAGCCACTAGCCAAATGTAGGAACTAGTGCGGCTGGAGAAATCAGCTTTTTATTTTCTTCCATTTCAATTCATTTTAATTCATTTAATTGAAATAGCCACATGTAGCTCATGGCTGTTGTATCAGGCTGCGTGGCCTTAGAATTAGAGTTTAGGTCTCTGCACACATTTGAACACACATGTGCACACACACACACAGGGCTCTGCTCAAACCTAGGCTCCCATGAAAACCAAGTTAAAGTGACAGCCAATTCAGGCCATCCTCATTGCACTCAGGGCCCGAGCTTAGAAGAGGTGGTTGCCTACTGCATGCACAGTGTGTAACATCAGAACAAAAGCCCAGGAGGTGGGGAAGTGGGAACGTGGCAGAGGAGGATGGCCAGGGCTTGGTAAGCTTCTTCCCACTTCTCTCCTTCCACAGCCTCACAGAAAACCAGGAGTGCCAGCAAGGCAGGCACTGGGGATCTGGATCAGACTCAACCCCGCACTGGGGCTGCTGACTCACACCTCAAGTTTCCATACCATTCTGGCTAATCCCAGTTCCCACCTCTTGGGGGGTCTGTGTATTCAGCTTCTGTCACTGGGTCTGGGAAAGGAAAGAATGTGAGGACAGGGGCCTCCTAGGTCTGGCATCCCAGGGGAGATTAGACTAGAGTGTCACGTTTGTGTAGCTCCTAGAATTCTCCAGCATTTTTGGATTTGATCCTCAGAAACATCCTGTGAGGCAGGAAGTGCAAATTTCCTTACCCCCACTTGTAAAGGGAAGAAACGGACAGAGAAGCTAAGTGACTTGCCCAAGGTCACACAGCAAGTAAATGGTAGTGCCAAGAGCAGAGTCCATGTGCCCTGACACTTAGTCAGTGCTCTTTTCAGTCCGTACATTATTAGAGAACTCACATTTAAGGAAATAAGATCCAGAACTATTTTTCCCTATCTTTAACAGTTTCATTCTCTGCTTCCCACGTGCAAATCTGTGCACCCCAGCCATTCTTCAAGCTCTGTGGGCAGAGGTTTGAGGTGTAGCTCTGCATGCCTTGTCATAACCTTGCTGTAAGCCACGTTCAGAGCACATAGGAAAGCTGTGCCTCCCCTGGCTGAATTAATGCTTAGTTCAGTCTGTGGGAGTGAGCCTGGGTGCTCAGGAATTCTAAGAAATTCCCTTATAATAGAAACTGAAACTCATGTCCATGAATGAGACTACAATTTCTTAAAGTCTGCTCTTAGAGAATAGTTTCAGCAGCTAAAGGGGCAGAGAGAGAACTCTAGACAAGTTTAAAATGAGCAGCACCATGCGGTTGAATAATAATCATTAGCATTTAGATGATATTTAAAAATCCCTTATGTAGAGTGCAGAAAGTTTTCTCAGGACTTCAGTCTTTACAACCACCCTGTGAGATAAGTATTACCATTGTTCCTGTTTTACAGATTGGGAAACTGAGGCACAGGGGGTTTAAGTAACTTACCCAAGGTCACACAGCTATTAAGTGGTCAATATCTAAATACACTACAGATTCCAGGGCCCCAGAGCTCATGCTCTTAACCATTGTGCTGTGTGTGTTGTGCAGGCTTTGGAGTCCCAGCTGTGAAACCTGGTTCCAGCATGTCCAGCACAACCCTACATGGCCTTGGGCAAATCATTTAACTCCTCTATCCAAACAATGAGGATGATGATACTTATCTTGATGGGAAGATTAAGGGAAATAACAGATGTCATGTGCCTAACATAGCGCCTTGCTCACAGAGTACAATCAGCAGGCAGTAGCTTTAGTGCTGGAGCCGCCGACCACCAGACTAGAATGGGGGTATGACCCTGTCATTCTTGTCATGCTGAAAAAAATTCTTGAGACAATCTCATTGCCTCTCTGTACTTTTTCTGTCTTTCTTTTTAGGGAAAACCAAGACCAGAATTAACTTGGAAGAAGGATGGTGCAGAAATTGACAAGAATCAAATAAACATTCGCAACTCTGAGACTGATACAATCATATTTATCAGAAAAGCAGAGAGGAGCCACTCTGGGAAATATGATCTGAAAGTCAAAGTGGACAAATACGTGGAAAGTGCATCGATTGACATCCAGATTGTTGGTAGGTTTGGAAGAAAGGACTGGAATGTTCTGTCAAAGCAGTCCTTATCATTAAGGCAAGAATAGGAATTTTTGTTAGGCTGGCTCTACAAACGAGTCTTTTTTTAGAATTTTTTTAAAAATAGAAAAATTAGTAAGATTTGTTAGCATTTCAAAATAACTTTTCACTGACTAAAAGAAATAACCATTGGAGACTTAGGGCTTATATATTTAAGAAAATTGATGTATGCATTTTTTAGTGAAACTGATCTGTATTTCTTTACAATCCAGCTCTCTCTTACTCTTAGTTTCTCAACTCCCTGATGATAAAACTATTTCCTATGTTTAATTCTTGCATTTAAAAACATTGGAGATTCTAGACATAGTTTAACATGTTTCTTACTACATCTAAAATTCACTAATAATAAAGTTTTAGTGGAGAATGCGGAATTTGTATTAAATGTAAGGAAGATGTACCTAAATAAAGTCAAACATTTAAACACTGAATCAGTTGATCCTGCAGAGCTAGTTATATACTTACCTGCCCAAAGAATAAATAAGGTTAGTTCTTACTTCTGATCAGAATTAGGGGAATAGAAGAAGGACCTCTTATGAGTATACCCTTCTTGCTTGAACTGTTCTAAAATTTTTTGCATGTTAAGAAATAAATTTAAGAGCAGAGCTAGGAGAAGTTGTTTCCAATAATTTTTATTATTATATTTTCATAAATTTGTTGAAACTTGATGTTCTCTAACCGAAGGGGAAATTGCCTGTGGCAAGCCTCCCCTGGTGAATGGTCATACCCTTTAAACTAAGCATTCTTTTACCACTGGCTAAAACTTTTTGATTTTCATTAAGTTGAAGGGAGTGTTGAGGCTGCTCCATGCCCTTGGATCTGGCCTGGCTTCATCCTAAGGGAAGGTGCAGGGTCTCAGAAGCCCCTGAGTTAGGGTCTGGAAGAGCACTTCCTCCTATAACACAGGGAAGGACATTTAAAAATATCCTCATGTAACAAGTATAGATTGGGAGGCAAAGTGACCTCACAGTGATGCTGTAAACTCATCCTGTAGATCGTCCAGGTCCACCCCAAATTGTGAAGATTGAGGATGTCTGGGGAGAGAATGTTGCTCTAACATGGACACCACCAAAGGATGATGGAAATGCTGCCATCACGGGGTACACGATCCAGAAAGCTGACAAGAAGAGCATGGTAAGGCCTGTGTATTAGTCCATTTCTGTTGCTCATAGCAAAATACCTGAAACTGGGTGATTTATAAAGAAAATGTAATTTATTGCTTACAGTTCCAGAGGCTGGGAAGTCCAAAGTCCAGAGAACACATCTGGTGAGGATCTTGGTTGTGGCAACAGTTGGTTCTTGGTGGTGGCGACAGTGACCCAGAGGTCTCACATGGCAGAAAATGGTGGAGCAGAGAGAGGGACACTCTTCATGCTCTCCTTTTAAAGCCCTCAGAACCATGCCCCTGACCACCATCATTAATTCATTCACTACAGCATGGTCCTACAATCTAATCACCTCTTCAAGGCCTCACCTTTCAATTACCATAACAGGATTTCCCACTCTCTTAACACTGTCACAGTGAGAGTCAAGTTTTTGGGAGACACTCAATCTGAGGCATTCTTCCCCTGCCCCCCCAAAACTCATGTCCTTTTCACATACAAATACATTCATTCCATCCCCAAAGTCTTAACTTGTTTCACTTCAAAAGTCCAAAGTTCAAAGTCTCATTTGTGAAATGAATACAAGTTATCTACTACCAAGATACAATGGTAGAACAAGAATAGGGTACATATTCCCATTCAAAAAGGGAGAAATAGGTTGAAAGAAAGGGGT